ATAAAACAGTTAAAAATGTTAACTACATCTATTTTAACTACATCCACCACATCTATTTTAGATCCCATTCCCACCACTTTATTTCAGTCCTGTTTCTCTTCTCTCTGTCACATTGTCCTCAATATTATACATGAATCCATGAGCACTGGCATTGTACCAACGGTCCTCAAAACTGCTGCCATTACCCCCTTGCCAAAAAAGCCTAACATGGCTCTCGACAACCTTAACAATTTTCGCCCCATCTCCAACTTACCCTTTCTTGCAAGACTTCTAGCACGTGCTGTCACACTTCAGTTACATAACCACCTCATGACAAACAACGTTTTCAAACCCTTCCAGTGTGGCTTCCATCAGCTTCACAGCACAGAAACTGCCCTGGCCAAAGTCATTAACGATCTTCTAATAGCTTCTGATTCTGGTTCTCTTTCTATACTCATCCTTCTTGATCTCAGTGCTGCTTTTGACACTGTTGACCATAACATCTTACTTTCTCATCTTGAGACTGTGTTTGGAGTTTCTGAAACTGCTCTCAAATGGTTCAAATCTTACCTCACTGATCACTGTCACTTTGTCTCTCTTAATGGGTATAGTTCTGAAATTGGTCTTGTTAAGTCTGGTGTTCCTCAGGGCTCAATACTGGGCCCCTTGCTCTTCAGCATTTACATGTTTCCACTTGGTCAGCTTTTAAGATAACATGGCCTCAGCTTTCATTTCTACGCTGACGATACTCAAATATACATCCATACCAAACCTGACACTGATGTAGCTGTCTCTATTCTCTCTAATTGCATCTCTGACATAACATCTCTGACATCTCTGACAATTTGGATGACTCAAAATTTCCTTCATCTTAACTGCGACAAGACTGAAGTCATGCTTATTGGCACCCCCCATCAACTTCGTAAAGCCAGTCCTGTAACCTTATCTGTAGATGGTTCTGTACTTGAGCTTCAATCTAAATTGAAAAACCTTGGTTTATATTGGAATCTGGCTTGACTTTGACCCACATGTGCTGCATATTGTCAAAACATCTTTTTTTCACCTCAGAAATATCGCTAGACTATGTCCTATGCTTTCACTAATTGTGGCTGAAAAGCTGATCAACACATTTGTGTTTTCTCGAATTAACTACTGTAATGCTCTACTCGCTGGGTTATCTAAATCTACTTTGAACAAACTGCAGTATGTCCAAACTATCCTGGAATCCTTGCACTAGCTTCCGGTCAAAT